TTTGGCTATTTTTAGCTCTAGTGCCACCAACCTCACGTGAAGTCTTTCCCACCCCCAGCCCCCAAGGGCCCAGGCCTTAGAGCAATCTTCAGCTTGCAGAAATCCAGCCCTCCCACCCCAGGAAGTCGACCCCTTGGAGGGGAGGGGATTCTAGTCGCCGCCCCGCATGTTTTGTCAACCCAAATTTGGGAGAGGGTGTCAAGTTCCCTGGGAGGGCGGGGCAGGGTGGCTGGTCTGAAGGACGTGGGGACACGGGCCAGACCGACTGTCCCCACACGCGGACAGGAGTGAACGTGAGCGGTGAGTGGAGTGGAGTGGGGGGCAACACAGGGCTACCTGCCCGGCCCGGAGTGCAGTGCGGGAGCGAGGACCGGGCCGGGGTCCCACGCGGTCGGGGCTGGGGGAACCCGGAGCCGGCCGTGCTCTAGAGGAAAACGCTCCCAGAGCACCTCTCAACCCCATCCCGAGGCCGCCCTTCGCTGCCCTCGGATATTCTGACGCTTACGAGGCCTTGACCCCTTCCCGACCCCTACACCATTTGTCGGGGAGCCAGCTCGGAACACCGGCGCGAGGGTTCTCGGGCCGTTAGCTGGGCTGGGTAGCCGGGCAGCGATGGCCAGGCCTGGGGCGCTGCGGGGGCCAGGAGGCCGCTAGCCGGGTGGGGGCAGCGGCAGGCCGGGGGCGGGCCCTCAGCAGGGGGCGGGGCCAGCCTGAGCGCATCCGGGTACCCTCCTGCCCCCTCCCAGGTGCGGGCCAACCTCCAGGATGGCGGAAGCGCACCAGGCCGTGGCCTTCCAGTTCACCGTGACCCCAGATGGGGTCGACTTCCGGCTCAGTCGGGAGGCCCTGAAACACATCTACCTGTCCGGGATCAACTCCTGGAAGAAACGCCTGATTCGCATCAAGGTGGGCGCAGGTGGTTCTCCTGGCCTCTTCCCTCCAAGCAGGTGCAGAATAGAGCCTTCCGGGGGTAGAGGCCAGGTGTCAGCTCCTGCCCCATTGTCAAGGCCCTCCGCCCCCACTTTGGCTGACAGTTCTGCTGGGGGACAGGGTCTAGCATGCAGAAACGAAGGTTGCTCAAGGTGTGGAGGGGAGATAGGTATCCAGGAAGTGGCAGTGGGACACTGAAGAACTGGGTGCCGCGGGTGGGGGCATGTGAAGGAGGGGTAGCAGAAAGGAGTAAGAGCACAGCAGGTGACCAAGGGAGACAGCCTCCCGCCAGAACCTCCAGGTGCTTGCTTGCCGCAGTCCTTCCTACTGCCTGTCTCTGCCCCACAGAACGGCATCCTTAGGGGTGTGTATCCCGGGAGCCCTACCAGCTGGCTGGTTGTCGTCATGGCGACAGTGGGTTCCTCCTACTGCAACGTGGACATCTCTATGGGGCTGGTCTGTTACATCCAGAGACGCCTCCCTGAGGGGTGAGAAGCGGGGCCACAAGAGGAGGCGGGGCAGACTCCAAGGCCAGGGTTCCCGAGCTGGGCAGACACAGGACAATAGCCACTGGAGGTCGTAGGGGCAGCCCTCCCCCCGCCACCAGCACCTCAGTCCGGTGTCCACATGTGCATATGCGTTGCACTCGTTGTGTGCCCGGGGAGGTGGCTCTTTGGTGCCTCCACCAAGATGGTTCACCGTCATCGAGACTGCAGTCAGAACTTCCGAGGCCGGCCTCAGTGGACCTTGCAGCCCTCTCCCTTCTCTGACAGATGTGGCCCCTACCAAACCCCGCAGACGCAGGCGCTCCTCAGCATGGCCATCTTCTCCACTGGGGTCTGGGCGCTGGGCATCTTCTTCTTCCGCCAAACCCTGAAACTGCTGCTTTCCTACCACGGTTGGATGTTTGAGATGCATGGCCAGACCAGCTACTTCACCAAAGTCTGGGCTGTGAGCAGAAGCTAGTGGAGGGCTTCGGGCATCTGATCTGAGACCCAGGGGCCTCATTTAGGGTTGTGAGCTGGAGGGGGGAGGTAGGCGGGCATGGGTGTCTGGCACAAGGGTGTGTCCTGGATCTGCGGTTTGGGGCCCAGCTCCTCAAGCATTTGTTCCCATTAATTTCCTTGGCTCCCAGCCCAACACTCTGCTCTGTACCCCAGATCTGTGTCCGCCTTCTGTCCAGCGGGCGGCCCATGCTCTACAGCTTCCAGACGTCTCTGCCCAAGCTTCCTGTGCCCAAAGTGTCGGACACAATTCAGCGGGTGAGGACCTGGGCCAGGCATCCCAGTGGGTGGGGTAGCTGGACTCAGAGGAATTGTCCAAACATAAGGGACTGTCCCCTTCACAGCGGGGCTTTGAGAGCAGTGGGGCTGGGGTCAGCAGAGGGTCAGGACATAGGCAGCCATTGCTGCCCAGCCCCCACGCTAATGGTACCCTGGCTGGACAGTACCTGGAGTCTGTGCGGCCCTTGTTGGATGACAAGGAGTACCACCACAAGGAGGCGCTGGCCAAGGACTTCCAGAACAAGTTGGCCCCCAGGCTGCAGAAGTACCTGATTCTCAAGTCCTGGTGGGCAACAAACTATGTGAGTCCTCCGTCCCCCAGGGCTTGCCCTCCCCTCTCCACCACTGCCCAGGCCCCGGTCTCCCCCCCGCCCCCACTCTAACACCCCACCCACTTACCCGAAGGTGAGCGACTGGTGGGAAGAGTACATCTACCTGCGAGGCAGGACCCCCATCATGGTGAACAGCAACTACTACGTCATGGTGAGATGTGCCCCTGTGTGCTCAGCTCTATCCAGAGCCCCGGAGGGGGTTTCCATGGGCAGGTGGGGATTCTGGGTGAGGCCTGAGGGAAAGGAAAGGTGGGCAAGATCCTGGAAGAGAAGTCAAGACGCATCTTCAAGGAGATGGGGACACTGAGGATCTGAACAATCCAGTAGTCCTACAGCCTGACTGTCAGTCACTCTAAGGGCCCTTAGGGCTCACTGCCCTGCCCAGCCCAGGCCCTGTCACTCCCTTGGCTCCCTCACTGGTCCCCAGCCATGGGTTCCCAGATGTACTGACACCATTTCCAGGGGGTTTCCTTAAACCTGCTTCCCTTTGTGTCACGACGGATCCGGGACTGCTGTTCCTAGCGCTCAGGAGGTCGCCGTTGCTCCTGTGCCATGTGACGGGCCCTCCTTGTGCCCCAGCACCCGCCTGCCCCCAGCCGTGGGTCTGTGCAGCACATCTCAGTCCTCTCCTGCAAACCAGAGCACATTCTGAGTGCGTGCCATGTCCCCTGCTCCACCAAGCTCTCCCAGAAGCTTGCATGTGGCATGTCCATGCCTGAGGTTTAGGCTGCTTTTGAGCAAAATAAAACGTGAACCAATAGGTATGGAAAAGCAGCTGGGTTGGAGCTAAGTTGAGCTGAGTGACACGGTCAGTTGTGCATTTCATCTTTGGCAGTTCTCCTGACCTATGAGACGGACTAGTTAAAAGGGACACCTCTTAACAGGGCCTGTCACAGCCCCTGCAGACCCCGCTCTCTCCTGTAGGACTTTGTGCTCATCAGGAACACAGAGGTGCAAGCAGCTCGTCTGGGGAACGTCGTTCACACCATGATCACATATCGCCGCAGGCTGGACCGCGAACAGATCAAGCCTGTGAGTTGTGTCGGGTTGTGGGCATGCAGGGAGACCACGTGCACGCTGAGCTGTGCGGGCCTTCTTCGCAGGTGATGGCACTGGGCATAGTGCCTATGTGCTCCTACCAGATGGAGAGGATGTTCAACACCACTCGGATTCCGGGCAAGGAGACAGGTACCCAGAACAGTCGCACCCGCGTGGGGTCGCCGGACCAGCCCCTCCTTCCCAGCTGTGGGCCCGCTGGGCTCTGTGGCCTACTGCCTGTGCGTCACGAAGTGTCCTCAGTGTCTCAGGGTTGTGTAACAGGCAAAAACAGCCGATGTTTGACCAATGTTAGACATCTCCTGTTCATAGGTGAAATGCCAGTGCTGGGGCCCGGGCCCTCCTCCCAGGCTCACAGGGGAACTGGCGTCCTGAGCACCGAGTGCCGGGGGAGGTGCTGCTGCCTCTGTCGAGGGCGACAGGCTTGTGGGAATCTGGCCAGGGCCACAGCCCGTGTTTCTGACACCGGGACAGTTTGTGTCATTTCCCAGAGCAGTGGTCCACTCCTGTGACATTCCTCTGGGGACTATTGTTGGCATTAAGCCAGAGGCATGGAAGCAGCAGCGCAGGCCCTAACTCAGTGCCAGCCAGTCCACCCCTGAGGCCCAGGCAGAGGCCTGGCAAGGCAGGGGCCTCCTGGCCACTGAGCTGGTTGGTGGGGGGCTGTGGTGGAGTCGGGAAGGAAGGGCCTGTCTGCCCAGCGCGGCCTCAGCCACTGGCCCCTCACAGATGTACTGCAGCACCTGGCGGAGAGCAGGCATGTGGCGGTGTACCACAAGGGCCGCTTCTTCAAGGTGTGGCTCTATGAAGGCTCCAGCCTGCTCAAGCCTAGGGACCTGGAGCTGCAATTCCAGAGGATCCTGGACGACCCCTCGCCGCCTCAGCCAGGGGAGGAGAAGCTGGCGGCCCTCACTGCCGGCGGAAGGTACCGCAGTCCGAGTCAGCAGACCCTGCTGGCTGGAGGTCAGGGCTCCGTGAGGAGAGGAGCTGGGCCCGGCACCCACCCGGGGACTCGGGGACTCACTCTGCCGAGGCACTGCCAAGGGAGGGGCGTGCGGGCCGCGCGCGGTGCCGAGAGGCATGGTGCAGCGCTGCAGCTGTGGTGTCTAGCGGGGTGGTGGCCAGGTTGCGGTGCACGGGGGCAGGGGCACCTTCTGGGACAGCCCTGCAGTCCCACCGCGGCCCAGCTCCGGGCTGGGTCCTGGGAGGTGTCCCCTCCGCGGCCCGCAGCCGCCCCACCGCTCACCCCACCCTCACGTCCCAGAGTGGAGTGGGCCCAGGCACGCCAGACCTTCTTCAGCTCCGGCAGGAACAAGGCCTCTCTGGATGCCATCGAGCGCGCGGCTTTCTTCGTGGCCCTGGATGAGGAGTGTCACTGCCATGACCTGAATGACGATGCCTGCCTCAGCCTGTACGGCAAGGCGCTGTTGCACGGCAACTGCTACAACAGGTGCGCACCGC